GTTGCTCCCGCGCCTCGCTCAGCCAGTGAGCGGGAACCAGTCTGTATGTGGGATCCGAACCCCCGGGCGGGAGCGCCGCCGCGCTTCCCAAGCGGCGCACTATCCAGTGCGCCACCGGGTCGGCCCAGAGTTGGTTATTTTTTAATGGTCTGAAGGAGCTCTTTCGAAATTCTGGATACTAAGTTTTTGTTGATTTTATGTGATAGACAATTTTCTGGCAGTCTATGGCTTATCTTTTCACTTTGATAATAATATCTTTTGTCAGTATTACAGTTTTAATGTGACCAAATTTACTAATCTTTTCCTTTATGCTGTGTGTTCTCTCTAGAAGACACAAAAATTTTCTTCTAAGAGTTTTAGTTTTCATATTTAAATTTTAAAATTTAGAAATTTCTGTGTAGTATGAAGGAGGGATCTCATTTTTTGTTGTTGTTTTTTACATATAGATCATCAATTGTACCAGTACCATTTATTGGATAAACTCATTCTCCCCTGATTGAATTGCAAGGTCGCCTGTTTCTTGGTTTTCTATTTTGTTCCATTGGTCTATCCCTATGCCAACACTACACTACCTTAATTACTATACCTTTAAAATAAGTCTTGATGTCAGCAAGGTCAAGTCTTACTCAATTGATCTGTTTCTGTCCCACAGAGATACTTAATTTTTGAAGGGATTGGGGCTTGTCAATTTCTACACCCTCCCCTCAAAAAAATGTCTGCTGAGATTTTGGTTGGGATTGCATTGAATCTATAGATACATTTAGGGAGAATTGGCTCAACAAGATTGAATCTTCTGATTCATAATCATGATCTATCCATTTTCAAAGATCTTTTTTACTTTTTCTAAGAAAGGTTTTGTAATATTTGATGCAGAGATTTTACATATCTCTCATTAAATTTATCCCTGAGTATTTTATGTTTTTTTGATGTTATTATAAATAGTACCTAAACATTTTCATTTTCCAATTGCTTATTGCTGGCATATATGAATTTTTTTGTACATCAAAATGTCTTGGAAAATTGACCTATTAGTTTTAGCAGCTTTTTGGAGATTCCCTAGGCTTTTCTATATAACCAAATATGTGGCTGTAAATAAAGGCTTCTGTGAGTAGTCTTTTTAAGTCTTTATGCCTTTATTCCTTTTTCTTGCCTTATAGTATTGGCTAGAATTTCCAGTATTTGAACAGAAGTGGTGAGAACAGACATCCTTATTTCTGATCTCAGTGGGCGAAAGCATTCAATATCTCATAGCGAAATATGATGTTGAGGAAGTTTCCTTCTATTTCTAGCTTGCTAATATTTTTTTAATCATGAATTGGTATTGAATTTTGTCTGCATCTATTAAGAGGATCATGATTTTTCTCCTTTAATCTGCTAATGTGGTGAATTACATTGACTTTCATATGTTAAACCACCTTTGTATTCCTGGTATACTTGGTCACAATGTATTATCTTTCTTATATTCTGCTGTATTTGATGCTAATATTTTAAAGACTTGGCACTCATGATGGATACTGGCCTTTAATGTTCTTTTCTTGTAATGCTATTATTTGGCTTTGCTATCAGGGTTACATTGGCCTTTAAAAAATGAACTGGAAATCTCCCTATATTTTCTGAAAGGGTTTGTGTAGGATTGGTGCTACTTTTTCCTAAATCCTTGACAGAATTCACCAGTGAAGCCATCTGGAACTAGAGTTTTCTTTATGGAAAGGTTTTTGATAATAAATCTAATTTCTCTGATAGCTACAATAACATTCAGATTTTCCATTTCATTTTATGTTGGTTTTGGTAAGTAGTGTTCTTCGAAGAACTTTTCCATTTCATCTAAGTTGTTGAATTTATTGGCATAAAGTTATTTATAATTTATCCTCTTATTATCCTTTTCAGTAGGATCTATAGTGACATTCCCTCTTTCATTCCTGATATTGGTAATTTGTGTTTACCTTCTTCCTGATCAATCTTGTTAGCAGTTTATCAATTTTATAATTTTTTTTCCCAAAAAACCCACAACTTTTGGCTTGATTAATTTTGTCTATATTTTCGATTTCATGGATTTATATTCACAGCATTATTATTTCCTGTCTTCTACTTTCTTCAGGTTTAATGTGCTTATCTTTCTCTATGGTAAGAACTTAGATCAGGGATAGATTTAGTTTTTGGTTTTTTTTTTTTTGTCTTTTGTCGTTTTCCGTGTC